TGTGTCCTGACATAAGTTGGGAATAAGTCTATCTTAATTTAAAAGAGGTTTACTTCTGGGTAGATGTGCATATTTGCAAAGCTTTTTTCCTAACTAGAACTGAAGTCTCTTGAAAATGTACACATTAAACTTCTATTTTCAGTTAGTTCTAAAATATGTGTATGTGTGTGAATGTGGTGGGAGGGATGAAGCATTGCAGAAATCGATATAAATGTTACATGTAAAATACTTTTGTATTGTTTCAGTGGACCCAGCTATTTGATGCTCTTTAAGACATCAAGGTGATTTAAGTTTTGTAGCAAGTACTAATATTTTGAGTGTGAAATGAATGAATTATTGAAAGTCATAGCTTGATACAACTAGAGCAAGAAACTCTGATGACAGTCAGGAGAGATCAAAAGCAGATCAGATTGCTTAACAAATGCTGTGTCAAGGAACTGAGAAAGGCACAACTGAGGATCCTAGAGAACTGTGAAATTGAAGGGCAATTAATGGAGCCAAACTGGTAGATATATTAATAAAATCCTGAGCTGTCTCAGACCCTTTGTTTATTAGAATGTCTGTCTGGTACATAACAGATTAATGTCCAGCCACATAAAGCTTTAAAACAAATGGAAAAGAAACTAATGACAGCTGAAGAAGAAATATTATAGAAATTGCTACTTCAACTGCAAAAAAAAAACAAAAAAAAAACCCAACACAAAAAACCCATTCATATTCTAAAGTACAAGAAAGCTGGCCACATCCTGAAAAAAAACTAAAATTATTGTTTTTTTATTTAATATTCCTTATGTCTTTTTCCTCCTGAATTAACAAAATTCAGTGCATACTTCTCATAAAACAAGCAAACAAATAGTTGTGGATTCTGTGCAGTTACTATTCTAAAAATAATGTAAAATGATTCTTCCTTTTAAGGAAATTCAGTTTAATTCTCATTTTCAGCCCTATGTATACTGAAGATATCATACTGATTATGTACCATAAAGTAAATACTGCAATTACAAAAATAGTACAGGTTTGTTTGAAAGCCAGCTTGGTGTAGTGGTTAAGGCAGGGGTAGGCAACCTTGGCTCTTTTATGACTCATGGACTTCAACTCCCAGAATTCTTGAGGAATTCTGGGAGTTGAAGTCCACGAGTCATAAAAGAGCCAAGGTTGCCTACCCCTGGGTTAAGCTAGAAACCAGGAGACTGTGAGTTCTAGTCCCACTTTAGGCACAAAGCTAGCTGAGTGACCTCAGAGTTGTCACTTTCTCTCAGTCCCAGAAAGGAGGTAATGAAAATTACTTCCAAAAAATCTTGCCAACAAAACTGCAGGGACTAATCCAGGCAGTGTCTGAGAATTGGACACAACTGAAATGAAACTGCCCACTGAACAAATATGACCATGAGATATGGCTAGTTGTACCAATTAAGTGTTTCTTCCTTTTTTTGACACAAGTTATTGACACATTTAGATACAGGAAGAAACTCCTCATGAAAGTAGCTGTGTTTCATCCATGTATGTATTTAATTTGGGAGGGCAGAAATAAATGCTTTATATGTAGCAGGCATTTAAAATATGCAGCTACACCAACACTCCTGGTCACATCCACATTAACTAGTATCATCTTGTGGTCTCTAGTGGTCATGTTTTTTTGATGCTGTACCTGCCCTATGGTACAGCCTTTGGAGGGATCCAGCTGGCCCACAACCCTACTGGCCTTTTACAAGGTAATAAAGATTTGGATTTTCCCATAAGATTAGAACTGGGAGGGAAGGCAAGCCCTATTATCTTATTGTTTTATTTTAGTGGCTTTATTTTTTTTATTTATTTATTTATTGGATTTTTTACCCTGCCCTTCTCCTTGCGGACTCAGGGCTTGAAAGACAATGTTATTTTTAACCCTAGGAATACATTATAATAGGGGCTTTTTTAATAAAATGTGTCGTTGTTTTTGGTTTTAAGTTCTGTACACCACCCAGAGTCACCTTTGTGAGATGGGCGACCTTACTATGCAAATTGTTTGTAAACTAAGTTAAGCTAAATTAAACTAAACACAACACCTGGAAATCATTCAGTACACATCCTTCATCTATTAGTGCCATTATCCCTTTCACCACTTACTTTTTTTTATTGGTGACTCAATAATCATGCACGTTATGCTCACACCCCTAAATCTAATTGGTATACAAGTCTTGGGTGTAGAAAATCAATTCCATCTCCTTTGTCTCTAATCTGAGCCAGAAGCTGTCTTGTGACTTATGATGTTGTCTTACCCTTCTGTTTGGTCTGGCTTCTGTCTTGTGTCCAGAAGGAAAGCAGCAGCTCAAACATTCCAGAGAAATGCATTCCTTCATCCTGCATACAGCAATAGTAATCTGACTTACATTTTGGCCTTGCTGGTCACATTCTCCCATGTCCCTTGGAACAATCCATTAGAAGAGGGAGGGCCAGCTGAGTGGCAGAAATAGTACTATCCTCCAAGACTTTCAATATACTAACTGTAGGGCTGGTCCTGTAATGATAAACCTTACTAACAACTTTTCATTATAACACAGGTATTTAGTATCAGCACAGGAACTGCTGATATATTATTCTTGCATGTGTTCCACACCATAGAAAGAGAGGTGCTGCAACATTGAGAAAGATACCTCCCTTTCTACTGGGGCTCTCTAGAAATTGGCCTTTAAGGCAGGGTAGGTAGCCTATTTCTGGCTGAGAGAAGGTGAAAAGATTCAAAGAAAGGGAGATGAGTTGTCAGGAGAGTTCATTTCTTGTTTTTAAAAGCTATTTCATGAATTCATCCATTTAAATCTATTTGTTTATATGATCAAGCTCCCAAGATTACAGGTGGTTTACAGATGTCTATATTACATAATGTATACGCTAAAGTATAATGGTTATGAGGATGTCTCTCATACAGATTATTAAAAAACTGCTTTTCAAACTGAACATCAAATGAAGTGCTAATAATTAGTTTCCAAATGGCTACTGAAAAAAGACTGTTTTGACAACTGTGTGGAAAGCTAAAAGAAGAGCATCTTTGCTGGAAAGGGATTTCAAAGCTTTGGGGCTACCACCAAGAAGGACATTTTGGGGGTTTACATTCCATCCAGTTCTTAATTCAGGAAGGCAGGTTTTCCTTAACCTTAATCCTATACAGCAGTGTTTCTCAACCTTGGTATTGTTTCGCACCGTGAAGATATGTGGACTTCAACTCCCAGAATTCTCCAGCCAGCTTGGAGGTATTTATCTTTGTTTATAGCAACTTTATGCTATGTTTACATTTTCATACATTTATTCATTTTCATTCCAAAAACCTATTTTCTGATCAGTCACTGCTATCACAGTATTATTTTAATCCAATTCCCAAAGCAAAAACTGCTTTTTAGCCACTATATTTATCATGTTTTTAATATCTACTGTATTAGTCAATTAATATGACACACACACTCACAAAAGGGTTGATATTTTGTTCCACTATGTATTTGCTTTTGCTGTATTATGGTACTTCTGCTATTTTTAAAGCCTGTTTATCCAGTATGAACAGTTCCTTTTGGAGCTTTTTGTGAATCATTAGTCTTAGTTTCAATCCCCGGGGACCCAGAAAATTAGGGCTTGCCTATATAATGGAAATCAAAGTTTAGGGAAAGATATTAATTTTGACATCTGGAAAAAGTTAGCATATTTTATATCAGTTTTCTTGGCAGGAGACATCCCCCCTCATTCTTTCTCTCAGTCTCTCTCATTCATTCTCTCTCTCCCTCTCTCTCTTTCTCTTATATAGTATTACATATCTACAATCATTACAATAGGCCCTTAAGACCTGCCAATATTAGTATTCCCATATTAGCATTAGCATACTGCAGAGAAGGATGAGGCTTAGAAACAGAACTAGAGCAGGAGACAAAATTCTTCACTATGTTTGTGGACAGAGCAACTGGCTGGATAGTTTCTCCTACAATGTTTCCACGTTGACCTCTCCCCTCCCATCAATGACAACTGCATTGAAAAAGGTGGGATGAATTCTTCCTAAAAGTTCTCCTGGGATTCAACTGATGCATTGGAAACCTAACAGAATGCACACCACTGAAGAGATGTTTCTAAAATAAAGAGAGAACATTTCCACATACCCCTTGGCTAACATTTTAACAGAAAAAGCCCAAGGCTATCACATTCCCTTCTTGAAAGCAGTTTAAAGTTTCTTGACCCAAACAAGCCTGGCTGCCTAGCTTCCTGATTTGGACACTGCATTTGCCACACAATTAAGATAAAAAGGAAAAACATTGTAGGACTATGTTCTTCCTGCCCTGTGCTAGACAGAACAATAGCAAATTGCCTTAGAGAAACTAACATTTGTGGCAAAGATGAGATTTGAACTGAGCATTTTCAAATTTTCCTGTTCTTTGCCCAATCTCCCAGGATTTCCAAATAGGTTGCAGAAACATGCAACAACCTTGGTGGATCACGGTTGTGGAGGTTTTTTTTTTGCAACTTAGCAACAGAATTGTATAAATGTCTGTATGGATAGAAATCCTTCTGAGTTTCATGAAATTTCTGGGTAATTCTGCACAGGATGTAGCCTAAGAAGTCTCTGAAATTTGTTTTAGGAATATACTGATTATTTAAGAAGAATTTTCAGCAATTCCTAGATGAAATTTGATTTTTCAAACATTGAGCCCTGAGGAAAAAAAAATTATATATTTAAAAATATATTTTATATACAATATTCATATATGTATTATATATTACATATTTTAAATAAAATCAATACATTTCAGATTTGCAATTGAACTTTCCCACTTCCTTTCTTAAGACAAATCCATCTGAATCTTTAAATATAATTCAAAATGCAACCTAAGGTTTGATATATTTCTGTATCTGAGAATTTGTCTTTCATAGTGGCTTTCTCATTGCTATTTCTTGTGGTCTTAATGGCACAGATTAGAGGGATTTACCAGCATGTTCCCATGTCTACCTAAAAGACAAAGTGACTATGAGTATCAGAAAGCTTTTACCTCTCAAGTCTTTTTTCAGCTTGCGAAGATCCTTATTGAACTCTTCAAATTTTAGCTGAGAAGCTTGAAAAAGATCCTGCGGCTCTGGAAGAGGGAAGATGCATTGTTCTTTTCCAGCATCCTGGCAAAACAAAAAAGTGGGTTGAATAGATAATATAACATTGAGACAAGAACTATATATTTTTCTTTCTTTCATTCATTATATTACCAAACTGATTCAAGAGCAAGTATCATTTTAGGCAGGGTGTGGGGAACCAGCTGCCTTCACATTCTTTTGTTTTGGCTCTGCTAAATTTCTGTATTAGTGATAGTATAATCTGTAAAGAGAATGTTCTTGATTGGGTGCCATTTAAATGTCAGAAATAGCAGTTCAGTGGCAAACATAAGAGCTGGTTTGGTATAGTTCAGGGGTAGGCAAGCTCGGCTCTTTTATGACTCGTGGACTTCAACTCCCAGAATTCCTGAGCCAGCCATGCTGAGGGGAAAGGGAGAGGTTGCCATGCTTAGCCATGCTGGCTCAGGAATTCTGGGAGTTGAAGTCCAGAACTCATGAAGGAGCCATAGTTTTCCCCATGCTGGCTTAGGAATTCTGGGAGTTGAAGTCCACAACTCATGAAGGAGCCATAGTTTCCCCCATGCTGGCTCAGGAATTCTGGGAGTTGAAGTCCACGAGTCATGAAGGGGCCAAAGTTTTCCCCATGCTAGCTCAGGAATTCTGGGAGTTGAAGTCCACAAGTCATGAAGGGGCCAAAGTTTCCCCCATGCTGGCTCAGGAATTCTGGGAGTTGAAGTCCACGAGTCATAAAAGAGCCAAGGTTGCCTACCCCTGGTATAGTAGTTAAAGCACCAGGCTAGAAACCAGGAGAGTTTTATTCCTGCCTTAGGCTGGGTGTCTTTGGGCCAGTCAGCAAAACTCACCTGCCAGGGTTGTTGTTATGGGGAAAATAGGAGGAGGAAGGAGTATTAGATATGTTTGTCACCCTGAGTTATTGATAAAAATAAAGGCAGGATACATATACACAACACACACACACACACGCACACACACACACACACACAATCCGGTCAGTTTTGCTTTGCTTTGACAGATTTTAGCCAATGATACTATTGAGTATATGCTAGCAATATCTTTCACTTTAGAAAATATTTAAGCCATCAACAAACAACAACAAAATTTATCAACTGCCTTCATTGCAATCTTAAGAACCAGAAGACAAAGAGATGACATCCAATATTGTGAAAGGAAACACCTGAACATGCAATGGAACACTTTTTAAACTCGCCTTCATACTGCACACTTCCTATGCCTTCAAACACCTTCCTTACAGGTTGAGAAATGAAGCTTGAGGTTGAAAAAGCAGATTTTTGAGCGCATATGAAAGGATTTGTTACCTTATTCTTCGTTTCCTCAAGAAACCACCCTACTAGATCTCACCAAAAGTGTTTATATTAAATGACAGAAACAAAAACTATCCTAAAAGAAAAAAAAGGTTAAAATGGAAGTTCATACTTACCTCATCAAAGTTACGCAGATAATATGAGACAATATACGACAGAAGACTCCTGCTGTTATCCTGTATAAAGTCAAAATTAAATAGCATTTAGATATGAAATATATTGACATTTAGATTGAATAATTTCTATTTGTATACATTTGGAACACAAGTAGTCCTCAGATAACAACCACTCATTCAGCGGCCATTCAAAGTTATGATGGTGCTGAATGAGGAGACTCATGACCTGTCATAGAAGCTGCTGCTGCTGTCATGTGATCCTGGGCGCTTGGCAACCAGTTTGCAATTATGATGGTGGCAGCATCCCGCCCTCACATGAGGAGCCCTGATGGTGCAGTGGTAAAATGCAGTATTGCAGGCTAACTCTGCCCACAGCCTGGAGTTCGATCCTGATGGGCTCTAGGTTAACTTAGCCTTCTATCCTTCCGAAGTCAGTAAAATGAGAACCCGGATTGTTGGGGGCCATAAGCTGATAGTGTAAACCACTTGGACAGTGCTGTAAAGCACAATGGAATGGTATATAAGTCTAAGTACTATTGCTATTGCCTTTTGTGATCTTCACTGCCAGCTTCCAACCATCAAAGCCATTGAAGAAACCGGCAGCAGTTCTCAAATGCTAATCATGTGCCAATGCTCTTAACTATAATGTGGAATTGCTGGAGCTGCTGTTGTAAGTCGGTGCAGTCATATGATACCACACTTTATGAGATCGCTTAGGGCAGTGGTGGCGAACTTATGGCATGGGTGCCAGAGGTGGCACTCGGAGCCCTCTCTGTGGGCACATGTGCCGTTGCCCCAGCCTCGCCTCCCCCCATGACCCCCTCCTCTCCAGCAGCCCCCCTGAAGGAGAGTCTCCCCTGAGCGTGGCCCACCTGGAGCAGTGCAGCCAAGGACATGGCAGCCAGGCAGCGTAGACAAGACTCTGCCCTCACACCTCATCATGCACAGTTGATGCTGCAGGGTGCAGGCAGAGGGCGTGACCGCCATAGCGCTGCTGGGCTGCCTGGGCAATCTGCAGCGAGCCCTGGACAGGGGTGAGTGGCCCTGCAGGCAGGTAGGGTGGGGGATGGGGGGCAGAGCAGGGGTGGGGCAGGGGGTGGAGCAGGGGCGGGGCCAGTTTTTGGGCACTCGGTCTCTAAAAGGTTTGCCATCACTGGCTTAGGGATAGAGTTGCCAGTCCCAGTCACCACCATTAAGTGAGGACTGCCTGCATTATGCAAGAAAGCAAATGAAACCCCAAAATGGAAGTGAGAACACAATCAAAAGCCTTCCATGCATTTATGCAATAGATAATAGAGATTTTTTTTATTATCATTGTTAAGGCAACATGCTAGTTCTATAGTGTAGGCAAGAATTCTAGGAAATGTTGAAATGAAAAGGTCCTCCTCTTTGTGAGCCTTTACCCAGTTTGTAAAAATTTGTGTTACTGAAATACAAAAAAAGGAAAATATATGCAAGCAATGGGAAGATTACTGAGATGTTATATACATCCGTTATTAAATGGGACACTTATGTAGTTTTAAAACCACGGAATATGTTTGTTTTTCAATATTAATTATAGGAGAAATATCAGAATTTTAGAAGTGGTAATCCAATGTGCTAGCAATGAACAGGATTTGTCAGGCTCAGGTTTCTTCCATGAACACAAGTTTATTTTAATCTATATCACTATGAATTTACAAATTTGGAAGAAAAAATAGCACAAAACTGACTGATCATTGTTACATCTCCTAGTATATCTTTTTTTATATTTTTTCCCCCTAATATGCATCCTAGTAGTCCTAGTGTTATGGCCACAACTGAGCCTAAAATTTATGTTGCTAAGTGAGAAATTTGTTAAGTGAATTTTGCCCCATTTTACAACTTTTTTTACCACATTTGTTAAGTGAATCACTCAGTTGTTAGTCACACAGTTGTTAAGTGAATCTGGCTTCCCCATTGACTTTGCTTGTCAGAAGGTCACAAAAGGTGAGCACATGACCCCGGGACACTCCAACTGTCATAAATGTGAGTCAGTTGTCAAGCATCCAAATGTAAATCACATGACCATGGGAATGCTGCAATGGTCATAAGTGTGAAAAGTGATCTTAAGTCACTTTTTTCAATGCCATTGTAACTTTGAACGGTCACTAAACAAACTGTTGTAAGTTGAGGACTACTGTACTTTCTGCAAATATTATGTTAGGCTTTGAATTATAAACTACAAAAATCCATAATTCCAGTTTATATGTAGATATTAAGAATGAAATTTGTGTAGCATCAATTTGTTACACACCACTAGTATCTAAGAGTTGCTAAAAGACTAAATAACATAATAACATGTTTTATCTCTGCACGTGGAGATTCCTTCCTTCCTTCCTTCCTTCCTTCCTTCCTTCCTTCCTTCCTTCCTTCCTTCCTTCCTTCCTTCCTTCCTCCCTCCCTCCCTCCCTCCCTCCTTCTTTCTTTCTTTCTTTCTTTCTTTCTTTCTTTCTTTCTTTCTTTCTTTCTTTCTTTCTTTCTTTCTTTCTTTCTTTCTTTTTCTTTTTAGTGTGTTCTTGATTGTGGTCTTTTGGCCACTGCTGAAACAGAATGCTGAACTAAATAAATCTAAGGTTTGACTAGGTGAACTATTCTTATCTTACTATCTTATTAAAATAAGAAGTCATAAATCGTTTGAAATCCCACTAACAAAGGGAAACGTTTATGGTATCCAAAGTGCAATGAGCACTGAATTTAGAAAAAAGTGCTGAAATAGAAAACTATAAACCAAACTAAGCTTAAAAAGAATACAACAGAGCTGACTGACTGTTTTATCTAATAGCAATAGCACTTAGACTTATATACCGCTTCACAGTGCTTTACAGCCCTCTCTAAGCAGTTTACAGAGTCAGCATATTGCCCCCAACAATCTGGGTCCTCATTCTGCCGACCTCGGAAGGATGGAAGGCTGAGTCAACCTTGAGCCACTCAGAATCAAACTCCTGGAGTGAGCAGTGAGTGAGCCTGCAATTCTGCATTCTAATCACTGCATCACCAGAGCACTGTAAGCACTGTAAGCATGAGCCTTTCAGGCTTAATAAAGCAATGCAGCATAATATTAAATTAAGGCATGGGAGGATCAAACGTACACTACTCTTGACATCTTTGAGTTTGGGAAGTATGTCTAATCCAAAGCCATCTGCTTGTCCTCTTGTCCTATTTCCACCATTCATGTAATTCCCAAAAGCCAGGACCAAGCCTAGAACCCGCATAACTCCTGAGCCACTTTTCAACATCTGGGGAAACAAGATGCAGAGAGGTTACTACAGAACACGTTAGAAACATTTCATTTTATTTAATAAAAAGTGTGCCAACACATAGTGGTTGTCAAAACAATTGAAAGCAATTTAATTTTAAATACTTCATAATCACATCGGGGTGATTCCAAATTAATAAAAAGTCTAAAATTTCAGTAATAATTACATTTCTAATTTCTTACTATTATGTAGATGTATCGCTAATAAAAAAAATTAAAGAAATTTATATCTTGAGAAAAGGGGGTATAGAACCCTTCAAGCCAATACCCAAGTGCTGTTTACATATGCAGGAATATTAACTCTCTGTGAGCTTCGAACTTAAAAGTAGTTTTTATTTTAAGACTAGCTGTACCCGGCCACGCGTTGCTGTGGCTCAGTCTGGTTAAATGGAAAATGGAATCGTAAAATCGTAGCGTGTGTTGCTTTTACGTCCAACAGATGGTGCTGTTTTTCAAAAAAAGCATGTTTTTACCTGTCACAGGTGTGACATCTATATAATAGTAGGTATATAAAAACACGCGCATATTCGAATGCAACGTTGTGTCAAAATTTCAAAGCAATCGGTGAAGAACTTTCGGAGATTTAAGATTTTGAACAAACGAACATTTACATTTTTATTTATATAGATTAGTACAGGGCTGGGGAGCTTATGATTTTTCAAATGTTGTTCAAGTACTCCATCATTGGACAGGGTGGAAAAGAGTTGTTGTTCAGCAGTATTTGTAATGACATAAATTCCCCACCTATACCATAAGAGGAAGGCTTTTCTAACATTGCTTAAGGGAATAGAAACAAAATATTGACGTATAGTTTGGAGTAAGAGATATTCAAGTTCAGGTACTTGTCAATTTTTGCCAAAGCTTGCTCAAATTTCTTTAATATTGAACAATTCTAGCATGATAAGCTGGGCCCAGATTCAACACAATAATCACTTGACATGAAACCGTCATACAAGAGACACAGGAAGTGCTGCACTAACTA